TTAATTTTTCAGCTTTCTAAATTTAGTTCGTAATTCCAAAAACTTTCAGAAAATGTGTACACAATTTTAGAAAATGTGCACATTTTGAAGCAAGTTGCTCAAGGTTTTAAAATTTGTTTTAGTTTTTTGCAAAAAAGTTCAGAATTCAAAAACCATATTTGGCCTATTTTAAAAAATTGCTCATATTTTTCAAATTTTGTTCTGTTTTTAAGAATTGTTCAAAAATCAATAAAATTGTTCAGAGTTAGAAATTTGTTCAAAATTTAATAAATGTTCACATTTCTTGAAAACTTTTGTCCATGTATTGTAAAATTCTTCACGCCTTTTAAAGTTTGTTCACTTTTTAAAAGTTTGCCCACATTTGAAGAAAAACTTTTAGAGTTCAAAATTTCCTCACAATTTTCTACAAATAATTTCTATTTTTAATAGGTTTTTACTATATATAGGTTCTTCAATTTGTTTTTGGGTGGAAACCCTGACTAAAAAAGCTATGGAGAAAATAGAAAATCCGTTACGGGTAAAGTGGTCAGCCTATTTGCGCTGCCCTTTAGCAAAAGCTCCCTTGTTTGACGCATATGGGCGTCATACAGGAGCTCCCTCGGTCGACCTGCGCGGTAAATAGGAGACACCTGGGTTGGAGCAGTCATGGGGAGTTGAGATGGTTCCGGCAAAAAAAAATGGGGAGTTGGGATGGGGTTATGTGGCATTTAGGGTAGGCATGTTAGGCTGAATCATAATTCTGCGGGTGTCCATTTTCGAGCATTGGGCTGCACCAAAATGAGTATAATGAAAATACGTAAGAATACCCTTTTTTGGCTCCCAGGTTCTATGGAGCCTGTAATTTTTAAAAAATTAAAATGGTATTTCAAACTTTGAAAAAAAATTGAAATCATTTCTATGAGTACACATGGACGTTATCTTCGTACCCGTAAAATTTCAATAGATAATATAATATATTATATGCTGTGAAAAAGACAACAATAAGCCCCAAAACAACAAAATACACAGCCATTTTTGTTCATCTATTTGTTTTTTTGTATACACCCTATAAAAATACGTATAGTCATAAAACCTCGTATAGATATAGTACACATCCATATAAACACTTACAATACCATGCAAAAAAATATAAACAGTTACAATCGTTTTTAGAACTTTTTAATCAATATAAGCTAATATATTTGAAATTTCCTTACAGCTCTCCTTGGAGCCCAGGAGCCAAAGCCGGGTTTTTTAGGATAGCCAGGGCCGGTCCTGAGATTTCGGGGGCCCGGGGCGAACTAAACATTGGGGGCCCTCAATATGCAAGTCATTATAATATAAGTATATATATAAATTTATCTCAAAAATGATGTATATATAAATTATTATCAGTAACACTTCAATGCATCTAAAATCAGTATGTGTATCAAATAATTTATACATATTACCTTAAAAATTTCTTCTAACATTTCTCGATGCAAAGTCACTTATGGTGGGGTCGATGTCAATCTCATCCAATAATTTCTTCTCGATGCATAATGTAGCCAAACCATTTAACCTCTCTTGAGTCCTCAAATAATTCTTCAACAATTTCAACTTCGAAAAGCTTCTTTCGGCAACTGTCATAGGCACAGTAACTAAGATGCGATAGGCAATGGAGATATTAGGATAGCAGTCAACTTCTCTCACATGCCTGAAAATATTCATAGCAGACATTACGCTATCTGGCTTCAATTCAGAAATAAGATCATATACCTCAACATCAGATGAACCATTAAGAGAGAAAGTTTCTGCAAATTTTGTGCAACATCCTTCAAGTTCATTGTCACTTAATGACTTCAGGGTGCCCGAGCTCAATAAAAATCCGAATATATCTTTAAACACCATCAGTTCTTTAAATCTATCATTCAAAGAAGTGGCCGCCATATCAGCCAAAACATTAAAATATTTAACTCGAAAAGCTTTCTCAGCTTCTAGAATTCCTTCTTCTTTTTTCCTTTTGCTGCTACCTGATGGATAATTCCTCTTACTGGAGGACTTCATAATAACACACACACAATGCTGAAAATAAAAAAAATGTTCTATCAATTATTGAACATTGCCGGCAATGTATCAAAGGATTTTTTTTGTATCAGTATTATATGAATATACCTCAATACCTGATGGAGTGATGGCCGGTCAAACTTCACTGCGTGTGCATATACAATACAAATACACATGGGATTGGCCGATTGCACAGTGCATAGAGTCTGCAAAGGATTGAGAAGAGAACAATTGAGCAAATACCAAAGGGGGCCCTAGAATTGAAATCAGCGGCAAATATATACAGATTAGGAAGAAAATTACCAGGCGGCGGCGAGGCGGGAGTGCATGCGTGCAGCGTGCCTGTACGGCGGCGTCGGCGGACAGCAACTACGGCTGGGACTTGGGCGTTGCGTGACTCCGCGTGATGACAGAGTCGAACACAACAGAAACGAAATCGTCCAGGCCGCTGATTGATCGTTCTGAAAGGAAATACCGCTGATTGCTCAAAACATTCGATCGCTGGGATCGGGAGATCGGGCTGCTGGCCTGCTGCTCCCTGGCGCGCGCCTAGCCAAAGCGACTTTCTGATATGCACTGCTAAAATTCCTTTATGCAAATTCTTTGTGAGACCACACTAGATGCGCCCATGTTACATGAGCTAAAACACACATAAAACACCAAAACTAGCGTTTGAACGTCACACATGAATAACACAAGACTTATACAAAGAGAAGAACATATAAGATAGGATCTCATGTTTGTTTTCCACCAAAATTAGGCCCTCTTTGGTTCTAGGATTGGAATAGGAGAACTATATAAAGTGTGATGAAACGTATCTCAAATCCTAATGTTTGGTTCACATGATAGGATTTCCTTTTCTTTTCATTTGGTTCACAGGATAAATGTCATCTGGCTCACAGAATAGGAATTTTCTCCATTAAGTCTAAGTAATGTTTCTTTCTCTTTCGAAATATAAAGGATGAGAATCAATCATGTACAGGAAATATATCATATTCCTGTAAACTAAACTGCTCTAAAGGAAAATTTCATACAGAAATCCTATCATGTAGAATTTGCTGAAAAATTGCTGCAACAATAGAAATTACAAATAAACATAGGATAGCAACATCTTTGTATCAGTATTCAAAGTATTTTGTTCCGCGGTGCGCTATGACATGATCAGCTGCTAAAACAAAAATTCTCCACAAAATCAAAAGATACTAAACCGACATGTATCTTTATCTTGGTCCAAGTGGTCCACCACGATGCTGTCTTCCTTGCACCATCTTTTCCTGCATGCCCCCACACCCACACACCCCCTGCTCTTGCCGTTGCCGTGCACGCTTCCGTCTCCTGCAGCGACACCGATAGCCCCGAAGTTGTAATAAGTCCCCTCGCAAGTGCCCAAATTGTGGCCACAAAGACCTACCAGCTGATCCCATGCATTGCAATTACATGGAGCATATGAACGCAATGCCTCCTCTGTAGCTCACACGTACCGATTGCTGGCGCAGTGTGCAACCGCAAGGAAAGGGCGCCATCCTCTCTTCAGAAACCAGAAGCAGGATACAACACAAGGTATGTGATCCAAGCCTCCTAGAGTTGCTCTTTTGTATTTGTGCACACCAATACTTTGAAAATATCATAGCTTGTGCACAGTTACAGAAAACACATGTTCCGCAATCCGCATAATCACTGCCATCGACCATCGCTCGATACGGGCGCGAGCAGATCCTGTGAAACATGAAAAGAATTTATCAAGGACACACATGTTCAATATATAGTTATAACAGGAAAAAAGGGAAGTTGGAACACATGAAGTACTCGCTCCGTCAGGAATTAGCTGACGCTCAAATGGATGTATCTAACACTGATATACGTCTAGATACATCCGTTTGAGCGTCAACTAATTCTGGTCGGAAGAAGTATTATTTAAAAGAAAAAGATCACATAGAAGCAAGCACAAGGTCTGACTTTATTAGAAAATGAATGTTTAAGCACGAGGGTAGCAAGATATCTTAGTTCCCGGATGTTCTGGGATGATATTGTTTAACATACTGGATGTGGCTTCACATGGACAAAAATAGACTTTTTCGTAACAAAAAAACTCAGTAAGTCCCAACAATGAAATTAGTGAAGCTTTGGCAATAAGATTAGTAGTCTTACATTAATCAGTTCACTGGTATCGAGTGTAGCATGTGGGAGTTAATTAAAGCTGAAATTTCTTCCATGATTTCCAGTGTCATCGATGTTCCCTGTTCTTCTGCTGCTTTTGTTGCCGTACATACTCCACTCGGCATGGGCGAGAACATTCAGTAACATGACTGACATGGATACCTTGCTGGCATTCAAGGCAAGTCTAAGCAACCAGCCAGGTGCCCTGGCTGCATGGAACACAACTACTGATTTCTGTTCGTGGCCAGGTGTCAGTTGCAGCCTCAAGCATGAGCACAGAGTTACGGTGCTCAACCTCGCTTCGGAGGGTCTTGCCGGAACAATAACACCATCAATTGGAAACCTCACATTTCTGAAAATACTAGACCTCAGCCAAAACAATTTCCATGGTGAAATACCTGCATCAATTGGCTGTTTATTTCGGCTACAACATCTTAATTTTTCCAGCAATTCACTGGATAGTGATGTAAACCCGGACATGAAGAACTGCTCCAGTCTTGAGAGCATCGATCTTGATTTAAATTTGCTCACCGGAGAAATCCCTGCATGGCTTGGAGGCTTGCCAAATCTGAAGACCATACAATTGTATAGGAACAACTTCACTGGGATAATCCCGCCATCAATTACCAACCTCTCAGCACTGCAAACAATCGACTTCACCGCAAACCAACTCGAAGGTGTCATCGCGGAGGGCCTTGGCAAGATGACTAGTCTCTCCTCCATTCAACTGAGTGAAAACCACCTCTCAGGCACTATCCCTGCAGCTTTCTTTAACCTTTCCTCTCTAACCGTCTTCGCTGTGGCGGCAAATAAGTTGCATGGTAAACTGCCCTCGGACTTGGGGGTTCACCTCCCAAATCTCAGGGCCCTACTCCTTGGCACCAATAGGTTTACGGGATACCTTCGAGCTTCTCTTGTAAATGCAACTAAGATTAATAAACTAGACATGTCGTTCAATGGCTTCACCGGTAGATTACCTCCGGAGATTGGAATGCTCTGCCCAAACTACCTCAGTGTTGCGGAAAATCAGATCATGGCAAGTACTGCACAGGACTGGGAGTTCATGACCTTGTTGACAAACTGCACACGCCTTCGTGTATTAAAGCTTGAGGGAAACATGCTAGGTGGCGTGTTGCCAAGCTCTGTTGGCAACCTATCAGCACAACTTCAAGTACTTTATGTTGGATATAATATGATTTCTGGAACAATACCATTTGGCATAAGCAATCTTGTCAGACTAAATTATTTAACACTCTCTCACAACCAATTTACTGGTGTCTTGCCTGAAAGCATGGGAAGGCTAAATTTGCTACAAGCCTTGTTTATGCATGATAATATGTTGACAGGGTTCATTCCATCCTCCCTTGGGAACATGACACAGCTACTAAGTCTTGGCGCATGGAGTAACAAGTTTGAGGGGCCTCTTCCAGCAAGCTTAGGGAGCCTCAAGGAGATAACTGGAATCGACTTATCATATAATAAGTTCACAGGTCCATTGCCTAAAGAGATCTTTAACCTATCGTCCCTGTCGAACACACTAGATTTGGTAGGCAATTACTTTGCTGGTCCTCTTCCACCTGAAATTGGCGGTCTGACAGCGCTTGCAAACTTGTACCTCTCTCAGAACAACTTATCTGGGACACTGCCCAATGAACTCAGCAATTGTCAAAGTTTGGTAACACTCTTGTTGGACCATAACTCGTTTAGTGGTACTATCCCCTCATCTATCAGCAAAATGCGAGGCTTGGCATTTCTAAATCTTACCAAGAACACACTCTCCGGTGAGATTCCTCAAGAATTCAGACTCATGGGAGGGATTCAAGAGTTGTATCTTGCACACAACAACTTGTCTGGTCAGATTGCTGAAAGCTTGGAAAACATGGCATCATTGTACCAATTAGACCTGTCCTTCAATAATCTGGATGGCGAAGTTCCATCGCAGGGTGTGTTTAGTAATGTGACTGGATTTCTATTTGAAGGGAATTCAGGGCTTTGTGGTGGTATTTCAGAATTACATTTGCCCCCATGCCTGCCAGAATCAATGGAACACACCATGAGAAAACGCAATTTGGTTATCACAATAGCTACCCCAATTGCTGGCATAATTCTATGCTTGTGTGTGGTGCTTGTTTTCTTCACAATAAGAAAGAAATCAAAAGCTCGGTCCAAAACCATGGGAGGATTTCAACTTATGGATGACAATTATCTTAGAGTTACTTATGCTGAATTGGTCCAAGGAACAAGTGGCTTTGCTACAGACAATTTGATTGGTAGAGGACGATATGGATCAGTGTATAAGTGTAGTTTGCTGCTAAACACCATGATGACCACAGTAGCTGTGAAGGTGTTTGATCTTCAGCAGTCTGGATCTTCCAAAAGCTTTCTAGCTGAATGTGAGGCACTTGGTAGGATCCGCCATCAAAATTTGATTAGTCATAACTTGCTGCTCGAGCTCTGACTCAGACCAAAACGACTTCAAGGCCCTTGTGTTGGAGTTCATGCCTAATGGGAGCCTGGATAGGTGGTTACACATTGATGTACATGCATCACAGCAACTGCAAGGTTTGACATTGATGCAGAGATTAAATATTGCAGTTGATATCGCTGATGCATTAGATTATTTGCACAACAACTGTGAACCACCAATAATTCACTGCGACTTGAAGCCAAGCAACATTGTTCTTAACGAGGATTTAGTTGCGCACATTGGGGACTTCGGCCTTGCAAAGATTCTTTCTGAACCAGCAGCGGAGCAGCTGATTAATTCAAAGAGCTCCATTGGAATAAGAGGAACGATTGGATATGTAGCTCCAGGTAGCTCAAATTTTCTAACATTACATTCCACAACATACATTTTTGCATGCAAAATGACTATATTTGTCTACGATATGTAGAGTATGGCGAAGGTGGTCAAGTTTCTTCATGTGGAGATGCATATAGCTTCGGAACTGTCATCCTCGAGTTGTTTACAGGCATGGCACCAACTCATGATATGCTCAGAGACGGGTTAACCTTGCATAAGCATGCCGAGAATGCATTTACAGGGATGCTAATGCAGATTGTTGATCCAGTACTACTTTCCATTGAAGAAGCCAATCTGACTAGTCTGCAGGATGGAAGCAACACAATGGAACATGGCAGCAATGCCATATTGTCTGTCATGAAGGTTGCGCTATCATGCAGCAATCATGCACCAACAGAGAGGATGTGCATGAGAGATGCTGCTGCTGCGATTCGCAGGATAACGGATAGCTATGTTAAAAATAAGACAAACTGAGGAAGTTGTTGCAACTGCATATAACACAAAGCATTTTGCTGAAACAAGATCAGCACCTGAAACATCCAGGTCAGCCCCCCTGAAGTTGCGTCATGCTTAATTTGCTTTGTAGTGGTTATGTTTTGCATTCCAAGTGTGGTGTTGTATATGTTAGTTTCTGCCTAGCCATTATCTTTTAGTTACATACATATGTAATTTGTTCAGAGAGGTCCAACGAGCGTTGAAGGCCTTAGCCTAGGCCAAGTCGGGCTTCCGAGCCTACTCTCTAAAAAGCATAGTTTTAAATAGCCGGCTATAGCCCCGCTATAGCTCCGCTATAGCTGTTTGAGGGTGTTGCCGCTAAATGATTTCATGTACAATTTGCCATTATAGCTCCGCTATAGCCCAGCTATAGCTGTTTTTAAGGGTCGCCGCTAAATGCCATAGCCCGCTATTTAAAGAGTTGTGTAAATGGAAGGCGGATACAAGTCGCATCTGGGTTGAGTTTGAATAAGACATTATATCTCATCAGATTTTAAATTGGTGTTGTATTGCATTTGAGTTGGGATGTATCGGACCCGTCCGATGTTGTTCTTGACTAGTTTTTCTAGTGGAACTTGTTCTATCTAACTGTGTTTAATCTTCTGATGTATGACGCGCAAAGCTTTTGTGTGTTTACAAAAAAAAGGGGGGGGGGGATTCAATATGCATATCTTCTATTCTACAAAAAAAAAAAAGATGGAGAAAGGATATTCAATACTCACCATACTTCAGGAGGTCATCACAACACCATCTCAAGTGCAATGCCAGTCTGGTCCGGGTGGCGCTTGCTCCGGTCGTGAAGGCACTTCAGACTTCAAGATTAGGAACCCCACGTGCACTACCTGGCATATAATTAAGAAAGAGAGACTATAAGCATCATATTCGGGATTATTTTCCAACGTCTATCAGTGGGGCTAATGTAACTTCTCCGTACAAGTTCCGAGGCATTCATGGTTATGCAACACCCTGTGCGCACATAAATACCATACCAGCCTCCATCTTCCGTCCTTAACAGGCTTAGCATCGCAGGGCACTTTGTTCTAGCGGATGAACTGTTCTCCCTGTCCGGCTTGCCCTGCAGAAACACCACCATGTAAATTCATACTCCTGCACATAAATCTGCAAGCACTTCATTCCAGTAGAAAGGGAAAAAATAGGGACTCACTGCACAACTGCAAACAATCTCTGGGACGTTTTGGTGACACTTTCCTGATACGAACACCATACTCCCACGAGTACAGATTGCAGAATTCGCTCCTTGAGGAAAACTCCTGATTGCCGCCACGAGTGGAGGTACATGGTTTACAATGACCACTCTTCATCGCGTACAGCACTACAGCTGGATGGTGCTGCCTGAAAAATGCCACCAAGACATACAAACCCACTAAAAACGATCACTATTGACTTTTTAGTGCTGATCAGAACCACAAACCATATCCGCAGGGAAAAGGATAGGGTTGAAATTGGAGGAGAAAAATAAGTGCACGCTATTATAGTTGGATTTTTTTTCCTTGATTCAAAAACTTTAATTGGATTTGAGGATATGGATAATGTCTCTGCAAAAACAAATGCTGGATTTGTTTCCAGTAAGAATTTTTTGCATGTATCTATCATGGAATGCACTTTTCTGAGCGAAAACTACAGGGCACACCAAGCTGGTCTTGTTCTCCGATAATAATAAGGAAACATCGAACAGGTGAACAGCAGTTAAGTAATTCGCAGAATTCTTCATACTGCAATTCAGTATCAACAAAGACAAAAAGGTTGTACCTGCGCTTCCACCCACCCGGGACACGTTGAGAGATGCATCCACAGAGCGGTTCGGATCAGGGACAACTGGACCGGCAGGCCGGTCCGGTATCGTGCCCGGAGCCCGGAGACCGCGCAACGGCCACCGGCTGGTTCGGCACAGCCGGCTGGGGATGCGGGCGATACAGTAGGGTGCTTGAACGGCCACATCCGCCAGACCCGGAGAGGCGTCTGATTCCCAAAGGCTACCTCAGTAAGTACTCCGCCCCAGCTATTGGATCTGCGGTCTCTTGGCCGTGCAGCGAGCCACCCTCTATATACAGGTACCTAAGAAACATAGCAAATATATTTCTATGGCGGCTTCAGAGCAGAAGAAGATGCACAATTGCTCGAGCTGTGTGCCAAATGAGAGCCCGGGGAACTCACTGATTTTCTCCCACGAAGCGCCGCCGTTACCGTACTCGATGCTGATGGAGCCACGGCCGAAAACGAGATTAGTTGGCGCATCTCCAAGGGCACGCATTTGATCGAACGCCTGGTGTGCACCATCCGGCTCGACGACAAGCGTCCTGCTGCCTCCCGGCTAGTCGGCTACCTCCCTCCATTTCGTCGGAATGGAGCCTGTGCCGTCCGGTCGCGCCGCCCAACGCACAGCCCGGGTGCTTGGGCCAGAGTGCGTGCGTGTGCCAGAGAAAGGAGGCTGCTAGCTCGGGGAGATGCGGTAGGGACGACGGCCGGGCAGGCCGGCGATGATGCGTCATGGCACGGTGAGGCAGAGCTACGGGAGGAGGGGTCACGCGGTGGCGCCGGAGTGCTCGCGCGAGGTGGGCATCTACGGGGAGACGAGCTCGGCGGGGGCGGAGATTCAACATAGGGCTTGGGTCCAATCCAGACCTCGCCACCTGGACCGCGCCCGGCTAAGCACATGGCTAAATGCGCCTCCCGTGAAAGCATAACCGTGCTTCCAGCAAAACCAAAACCGTGCCTCTTTTGAAGGATAAAAACAAAAATTCCGAGAGGCACCTCGCAACAGCACAACCATACCCCCCTTGAAGCAAAACCGTGCCGCTCGTGAAAGGAAAGAAAAATAAAAAACATATTTTTTTTCCGTTCCAAGAGGCACGGCCATGACTCCCACGAAAGCAAAACCGTGTCTCTCGTGAAAGAAAAAAAAAGAAAACATGTTTTTCACGAAAAAAAATGTTTTCAAATTTTTTTTATTCAAAAGTTAAGGAAGATGGGTGAAAAGTTCTTCGAATTTCAAAAAAAGTTCATCGAATTTGGAAACAAGTTCATCGATATTGAAGAAATATTCATCAATTTTGAATAAAAAATCACGAATTTGAAGAAAATGTTCACGCATTTAGCAAAAAAGAAACAAAAGAAAGTAAAAAAAAGTTCACTGATTTGAAAAAAAGTACATCGAATTTTCAAAAAGATTCAGAAATTTGAAAAAGTTCATCGATTTTGAAAAAACATCAAATTTGAAAATATGTTCATCAAATTGAAAAAAAGTTCATCTAATTTGGAAAAGGTTCATCGAATTTGAAAAAGAGTTGATCAAATTTAAAAAAATTCATGAAATTTGAAAAAAAATCCACGAATTTGAAACAAAAATCCATGTATTCGCAAAAATTCACTATTAGGGAAATGCCTATACGCAGGAGCTTAGTAGTAGCGCTTTTTATAATAAAAACACTATTACTACTTATCAGTAGCGCTTGCACATGATAAGCGTTGCTACTATGCACCTACCAGTAGCGCTGTGTTAATAAAGCACGCTCCTACTACAACTGTCAGACCGTTGCCGGTAGGCCAGGCTTAGTAGTGGCGCTTTTATGTAGAAAGCGCTACTACTATTGAACATAGCAGTAGCCCTTTTCTGCATACAAGCGCTAGTACTAAGGGCTCCTTATCCACACCCACGGCCCACGCTCGACCTTACTCCTCCCCACACACTCTCACTCGCGCGCCTTCGCTACACGTCGTCGTTGCCGCCGTCCCCCGCGTCGGCTCTCCCGCCGACTGCCCTCGCCCGCGCCGGCTCTCCTCCCCCGCCAGCCACCCTCCCCTGCGCCGGCCTCCTCCCCCGTCGGCCAACCTCCCGCGCCAGCCATCCTCCCCCGCCGCCCCCTCCCCGTGTCGGCCGTCCTCCACTGAGAGGTACTCCTCCTCCCTCCTCCCTCTAGGTTAATTAGATTAACTAAGTGAACTAGCTAGGTTAATTTTGTTTACTAACTAGGTTAATATGATGTTTTTAGATGGTTGGTTAACTAAGTAGATGTTAATTAGGTTAGGGCAGTAGTGGTACTGTTAATTAGATGTTTTTTAGTTAGGAGAGTAGGTTAGGTAACTAAGTAGATGTGAATTAGGTTAGGCAACTAAGCAGATGTTAATTTAGGGCATGAGTGTTTAGTTTAGAGAAAAAAATAATATAGTTTTTTTACTATTTTTAGTAAGTGTTTAATAGAATTAGTAAGAAAATTAATAAAACTAGTTGAACTAGTTTATTTTTAGTAAGTACTAGTTTATTTTAGTTGAACTAGTTGAATTAAAAGAACTAGTTTATTTTTAGTAAGAAAATTTAGGTATATGATATTTGATGATCTAATTAAAATTTTACTATAGAACTAGTTTATTTTTAGTAAGAAAATTAATAGAACTAGTTTATTTTTCTAGTTAAAGCAATTATTCCCGCATCGACGTCGACGATGGCTATCCCGCATCCTCGTCGCCGACTCGGCGGAGGAGGCCTGCTTGATTAGAGGGGCCATGTCCGGGACTGGGCTCTGCCGGGCTGGTACTGGGAGGTGCTACCTTCCGGGGGGCGCAGCTTGGTGAGGAGCCAGCCCGTCGTTGATCCGAACCTTCTTTGGTGGCGGTCGCGTGGGCCAGTGACGGTGCGGAGGCTTGAGGACCCCGCGGAGGTGGTACATCACCGTGTTAGCGAGGAGGACGAGCACGTCCGTCGCTACATGATTGCGTTGGAGGGCAGGTTCTCCAATACCTGGCAGGTTCTTCAGGGATCTCACTGGAGCTATGATCATGTGATGGTTCCTTCTCTTTGGGAGCATCGACCTCTTCCAAAAACTTGGTCGAAACGACAAGAACAATGTGCACACCTTGGCATGAAACAACACTTGAACACAAAAGAGGGAGCTAGAGCCTACACCACTAATCCTGCCATCATGACCCGCAACCATGGACCTCATAATGGCTAAAGCGCCCTC